TGTTTCCTGTACATGTTCTGCTATGGGTGAATTTTCAGTTTTGTTATTTCTTACATATTCCTTATGCTTATTTAAGTGGTGTTTTAAATTACGTTTTGTCTGACCAATGTAAATAATTCCACATTCACATTCTCCTTCATATATTCCAGTTTTTTCAGTTAACTGTATTTCGTCTTTCGTAGTACCTAACATTTGATTCATCTTATATATCGGTTTAAATACAGGGTAGAATATCTGTTTTTTTTAAACTTTAAATAAACTAGTAGTTAAACCTGGAACATATGGTAAAATTAAGCCTTCCTTTCTAATTTTTTTATGACTAGGTTTTAAAGTACTAATTTGATCAATTATTATAGCATTAATGAATTTCTTAACTGCCCTGTCTACAATATTCGGGGTAAAAACCTCTTTCGACTGCTATATATTTAATTAATAACAATTCGTTTTTTTTAAACCTTTTGGTTAGTACATATCTTCGAAGCTCTGTTAACATAACTATAAAACGTAGACATTTTTGTGACCTAGTATGACATGATTCCTGGTGTGGGGGCATAAGAACAGAAAAATGTTTCCGGTAAACTGATATTTCTAAATTACCTTGTACATTCCTTTTCACCAATACATCTAGAAAAGGCAAACTATTATTTTTCTCAATTTCAAACGTAAATTGTATGGATGGTTCAATGCTGTTCAAATAGTCATCTACATACCATATCCAAATATAAATAATGCAAAATGTAAACCTGATGGCTTTAGTTTCAAACACATCCATATATAAATCACATAATAATGGTGAGAGTGGTGATCCCATAGCTAACCCGTTTTATTACTCCGAGATTTTATGTACTTCCAACAGTACATAAAATTAATAACAGTTTTAGACCAATAGTATCATGTATAGGTACTTCATCGTATCAAATAGATAAGCATATAGCCCAGAAGTGTTCGTTTTTGAGAAATAAAAATAAATATACAGTTAAAAATGCTTTTGAATTTGTAGAGAAAATAAAAAATGTAAACTTAAATAAGGAAGATTTGTTGGTATCATTTGATGTAGTATCCCTATTTACAAAAGTTCCAGTAGAAGATGCAATTAAATGTTTTGATAAAAAAATTGTTAGGAAATAAAATTTCAGCAGTTGAAACTATAGATATAGTTAATTTAACTAAGGTATGTGTTACGAATCCATTTTTTTCAAGTTAACAATAATTTCTATAAACAACATTAATCAGAGTAATAAAACTGTCTGGAATTAATCGTTTCTTCTCTAAGTCTGTTAAATTTAAACAGTTTTTAACACTTGTTTTTTACTAGTTCATGATACTTATTAGTAGGGTTATTCTTTTTATATGTACTTGTCTCTAACATATCTTCTACCCCTTAAGGTAGTCACATTTATTAAGTACTATAATTTGCCCTTCTTTATCAGCTTTAGAAATAACAATGTTTTTATTTTTTTCTTAATGATTTAACAGCCTTTATATCTACATTTCGTTTTTTCACTACTGGGTTGAAATTACTTACAAGTTTATAACATTCACTTCTGGGGATATTTTTAGAATTATCAGCTATCACTTTACCCAGATTTGTTTCTATATCCGTTATTAAATCCTCATTTCTAATACTTAATTGTTTATAAGTAAAACCCAGACCTTTATTTAATACCTCCAACTGATTGTTATCAAGAACCACATCTGACTTATTCACTATTTTAGGATCTTCCAAAACCCTTTGATAATCTTCAGGTAATGTATCCAATTTGATTTGTTCATCTTCTTTTTTTTTTGTCTTTTAATTTAGTGTATTGCTGATGCAATTCATACATATACTTCTCAGTGTCTCTCCTTGTCCGATTCCACGTAGAGCTTTCCCACTCAATCCAACGTTCATCATCATTTTCTTTTGCTGCCGCTAAATGTAGTTGATACACTTTATTTTCTTGCTTGACTATAACACTTTTTTTTTTCTGTTGAATCTGTTGTTTAATTTTTTGTACACAATAGTCTACTTTTCTTCCTTGGATATTACATTTTACTGTATAAACTTTAGAATAAGATTCTCTCTATTTTACATCTCACCGAGGCCTGGCATGGCCAGGTGGTTAGGGCACTCGACTCATAATCTGAGGGTCGCGGGTTCGAATCCCCGTCACACCAAACATGCTCGCCCTTTCAGCCGTGGGGAGCGTTATAATGTGACGGTCAATCCCACTATTCGTTGGTAAAAGAGTAGCCCAAGAGTTGGCGGTGGGTGATGATGACTAACTGCCTTCCCTCTAGTCTTGCACTGCTAAATTAGGGACGGCTAGCGCAGATAGTCCTCGTGTAGCTTTGCGCGAAATTCTAAAAAAAACAAAAAAAAACCTGACTGTAGAGTGTGACTATCTCCCTGGTGTGAAGAACCGCCAAGAAAAAAATGTATATTCACAAAAACAAAATAATAATACAATTACAAAATTAAAAACAGAAAGAAAAAAAAACGAGGGCAATTGTTGTTGTGGTCGGTGCGTCGAACTTATAAGACTATTAGTAGACTTTGATTCAATTCTCATTAAATGGATGTATAAATATATAAATAGTTCGGTTTGTCAACTGAGATTCTAAAGTAATTGAACAGGCCTAAGTGAACTTTTGACAAGAAGAGGAGAACTATACACATACTGATATAACGTTTAGAATACGCTTATATTCTCTATAGCGTGGATACTTTATTGTATACATTCGGAATAATTGTATATATTCGAAGCCCAACAACAACATAGTATATATTTATACTATTACAATTGGTTAGTGTTTCTAGTGCAAAGAACAGCAGGAAAATAATTAGTTGGATGTGTTAAGGAGGTTTGATGTGGGAGTGTGCTGTGGATATTGGAGTTGCACTAGGCCTCACCCTGACTACTGTTAGGACAATTTGGGGAAATGGACAGTAGATTCATAGTAGTGCTCAGTGTGATACATCCCTCAGCACTACTGAGATTAGCAGGACCAGAAGTAGTTTAAAGTAGTGTGTGAATTGAAGACCACAATCAATGGCATATACCACTAAGTTTGCTTTTGATGCAAGAAAAAACAAAAAGTCTGTTTGTTGAATTGAAAAGTGACGTTGGTGAAAGTTCACAGGCATAAACTTTTGCTGCCAATCATGGCTGGTTCGAATGATTCAAGAGACGTTGCAACTTACACACCATTAAGGTACCTGGTGAGGCAGCTAATGCAGATGCTGTAACAGCTGAAAAATTCCCAGAGCATTTTAAGGATATAATTGAGGAGGGTGATTACTCACCAATGTTGAAGAGACGGGTCTTTATTGGAAGAAAATGCCAAAACATACTTAGATTTCCTGTGAAGAAAAGACAGTACCTAGGTTTAAATCTACAAAAGACCACTTAACGTTACTGCTGGGTGGTAATGCAGCTAGAGGTATGAAGATGAAGCCATTGTTAGCCAACCTCTCTGAAAATCCAAGAGCACTAAAGGAAATTTCAAAGAATCATCTGCCTGTTTATTGGAAATCGAATAAGAATGCATGGAATGAATATTACTCAAAGCAAAATACTGATTGCAAGATTTTGTTGGTGATTGACAATGCATCTGCCCATCAAATCAACCTCAATGACCTATGCGACAACATCACAGTTATCTTTCTGCCACCTAATATGACATTGCTGCAGCAGCCGATGGATCAGGATGCTGTCCCTACAGTGAAGAAGGATATCCTAAACTTAGCTAGGCAAGTTGGTTTTAAAAGAAGATGACATTGCAGAAGTTCTTGAATCAGACAGTGAAGTACTTAGTAATGATGACTTGAGGCAACTTGAAGTTCAGATAGTAGATGATGATCCACCTCATCAACCGTTGACTATGAAGCGAATGTCTGAAGCTTTCCAGCATATTGAGAGCCATGCAAATCTTTAGTGATGATGATCCCAGTAGGGAATGAAGTTCTAAAGTAGCTAGGGCAGTTGCTGAAATATCACAAAGAAATGTACCGAGAGAAAAAAGAAAATCGGTGCAAATGTTTTTTTCGAAGGAAAGTTCCCCAAGAAAACGAAGAGGATCCAAAGGAGGGAAAGATGATCTGCCTCTTCATCCCAGTGACTCGCCCTTTCCACCCACTCAAGCAAGCTTTGATATATATCATCATTGATGAACACAGTATTAGCCTATGCAGATGTATTTTATTGGATTAAACTTAAAATGTATTTTGTCTGGTAAAAATATTTCTGAGGTACCTAACCACCAGGTTTATATTATTTTCAATGGGAAAAATAGTTTTGCTTAGTATTATTTTGTTTAATGTCATACTAAATAGGGTGCATATGCGACATTAAGCACCAATTCACAACAACTGAACTACATAACATATGATTCATAAGCAGTTACGTAAACAAACCTGTGATAAACTATTGCTTCTAAAAATAACAATTTAACACTCGCATTGAACTTAAATTAAAACAGTCATGTATACCTAACACTTCTGTATAAACTGTTCTGACTTTTACATATCATCTGTATATTTTAGAGATACCCCTGATATCACAGAATATGGCTCTGTGTCTTCGAATTTCTTTATTTTCCTTTTTTTAAACAAAATTTGAGGATATTCACCACCAAGAAGGATTGTAGTGATTAAGTTCTACTTACACCCTTTAAAAGCCCATAATGAACCAGCTAAAGGTAAGGTGCTCATCTATATTCCCGATGTTCAGTGATGTTAAGTGTAAAACTACTTTTACAACCTGAAGGGCAAAAAACAAATGGGGGCATTCTTAAATCTTCTACTCTTTGTTGAAATTTAATCGTTAATGCATAATATGTTAATTTTGGTTTTAACACAGCAAACCTTAAAATAGAAACACATTGAGATTACTTTAAAAAAAACTAATGTACGAGAAACATATTCTAAAGTTTGTGTGTGTATGTGTTAACTCAGTAAACTTCAAAGTACCAATACCAGTTGAGAATTTGAGATAAAATTCAATATTTAAGAGAATGAAATAACAATTACCTCCCAGTTTTGTTTTTGTTGCAGAAGCATGCCTTCAGACCCACCCAAAGGTAAAGGAAAACACTACTGAGGAACAGGTGACAGAACTTCTGAAACATGCTCCCAATAAGCCAGGAGGCACGATGTATGTTGGAGTCTGTCTGTTTGTTTTTAATTATGCACAAAGCTACACAAGGGCTATCTGTGCTCTGCCCACCACGGGTATCGAAACCAGGTTTCTAGCGTTGTAAGTCCGCAGACATACCGCTGTGCCACTGGGGGGCGTGTTGGAGTCAATAATTATAGATTGAATATTTTATAATGTAGTTTTCTCTTACACTCTGTCGTTACTTAATTTAAAAAAAAAAATATGTTCACAGAAATAATATATACGATGCTGGACATTTTACAGAAATCTACTTCATCAAATGGTGGCCAAACATTGGACAATGATTAAATGGAAAAAGAAGAGTTGACTGACGACTAGAAAAACCTCTAAGTGGAAAAGTGTCATCAATAATAATTGCTTTCAAATTTTATAAAGCTTTTTTTAACAGAGGATAAATTTTTAATAAATTTATGAAAATGAAAGAAGATGAATCTTATTTTATCAGAACTTTAACGAGTGGGTTTAACCCTATTACAACCAGTGGGCAGCTCTCATTCAATATATAAAATTAAAGTTTCTAATAAATAATAATACAATTTTCCTTGATTCTTTAATATTTTCCAGTAACTACTGTCAGAGATTGTATGAACAGATGAGAAAGTTAGTATGCTATTACTAGAGCTAATACAGAAACAAAAATTACTTTTAATGAAAAAACAAATATTGGATACATTTACAATAACCAAAATCAGCAATTCTAAGATGAAGTATGTGGCAGATTTACTATTATATATATTGTTACGTCTCCGTTTGTTAATTAACTTTCCGTAACTTCGTTCCGACAAAACTTTAGCG